TCTTGGTACGGTAATACTTTCTTTTAACGTGTCATCGTGGCCCGACGATTAAGCCTACCGCTTCTCAAGCATAAGGAAGTGGATTCGAACCCTGGCAAATACCAGTGTGACTTTTTCCGAATTATAAAAATGTACTTTGAAAGCTTATTCAAACACCATTTACAAACAATAAAGGATTCGATCGCAAAGAGAGGAAATTTGGACTTAGATTTCATATTTATTAGTTTGAATTGGCCAAACGCCTCAAGCAGCCGTGGTGATTAATGCTTAAACCGAAGTGTTAAAAGAGACATTTGCCCAGGAGTGGTCACTTATAAGCTTATGAAGTGACAATTAAAGTAAATTTTGCCAACAAACATACTCTCCACTAATTGCATATACTTCATTTAAATACTTCATATTATTTATTATACTCAAAAATGTAGACCCAAACATAGGTACCTAAGCTATGCTGCTACCTTCAGATAGGAGTTGGAGATAATCTTGGACTCCACTACTTAAATAAGCAACAACGTCTTACAGAACAGATGCACAAACTTGATTAATTCATTAGGTTATCAAACAAACATCTCAACTAATGTATAACTTTAACATACTTGAATTCCAACCTGGAAATTACATATATATATATTCATGTACAGTACATCTCTTCAGAACACCTATATCTGTCTTTTAACTATACATTTTTTGCAGTCAACATTTTCAACATATTGTGGCAAAGCTTTTCTTTCGGGAGTTAGGGTTTTCGTGTAAGCTAACGTCATTGAAAAGGTGAAACACATGACTGGCTGCCTCACTCTGATTTCTGTAAGGCCATGTTATCAGTCCCAGGCCTCAATTTTTTATATAATGATATTGCAATATATATGTGTAAAGGTTCTTGCTTGCCAACCTTTAGGTGCAATGAGAAAATGTTCACTTAAGAAGAACAACATATAAAAAAATTAACGTGATTATTATTTGTGTCTCCAGGTGTAAAAGAACGTACAAATAGTAAATACTTCAAAGGTAATAAAAATATTCGATTCTTTACGCTTACTAGATGAACGTAACAAATAAAAGACATAAAAAACTCGGCAATTTAAAAAAGTTTATAATAATTTCAGATTTTACAGCTTTATCGCAATATAATATCTAAGACCTAACTCATTTAAGTACCCAATAAAATGTGGCAGACAGAATAGTCTGCAAAAGTTATGTATAAGTATTACAGATTTATCTTGTACTTCAATGCAAATGAATACTTTAAATTATTAAAAGGTGGAAATAAATTAACTTTGAGTAATGTAACTGATATTTTTATCGTAAGAGCTCTTTAAGGGAAAGAGATAAGTAACACGTAAAAAACGCGTTCATGTTCTTAGAAAGTCAAAATTATTATAAGTATTTATGTATTTTATCAAGGATATCAAGGGTTATATTTGGGGTTTCCTTGGATGTAACTTATACTGGGCCTAAGTGTACAAGAGACATGCTTTGGCACGAATGGGCTGGCGGGACCGGTGTGACTGCATGGCCTTTGAGAAAACCGTCATAAAACAATCAAAGCTTTGTGCTTCGCCGTGTGAGTGAGATTACCGGAGGCCCAATCCTTCGCCTCCCCATTCCTCCCCAATCCTAAATTCCCAAAAATCTCGGGTCCCCAGATAGCCAGAAACGTCCTTACCACACTTCTGATATTTCGGGTACCCGTGAGCGGCGCTAATTGCTTACCAACAGGTAACTCAAACGATCGTTTGCTGCCATATCACAAAGAAAATAAAGTTCCAGAGTTCTTTCATCAGTCTTATGTATAATTAATGAATATGAAATGAAACAAAATAATTTTTTTACTTATTGTTTTCACATTTATTCTCAGGGAGATTTTCTCATCGTCATCAATTTATTAGCCAAAAAATTGGTTTCTAAATATTACGAATGCAGTCATAATAATTATCATATTGAAATCTCGAACTACTTATATTAAAATAGTTTTTAATGTTAACGTTCTCTGTTGGCCTTCTGTGTTGAAATCATTGAATATCACAATTTCGCAAATTAATTGTGATTAAACTAAGACCATTTAAAATTGAAACTAATATACAAATTGCTTCTGAATTTCCTGTCTCAACAGGAACTGCAACAGACAGTCCCTGTCGAAATATCACTAGCATTACATAGTGTAAAACAAAACCACTTCCTACTGTCTGTACTTATGTATGCGAAGATGGTTAAAACTACGAAGCAGATCTTTATGCGACTGTTTTATAGATTAGATGATTTATGAAATAGGATATTGATGCCAAAAATGCAAACAGTAATAATTTTTGTATGTCTGTCTGTCTGTATGTTCCTTATAGAAACAAAAACTACTGGACTGATTTTAACGAAACTTGGTACAGTTATTCTTTGTATTCTTGAGCAGGTTATAAGTTACTTTTCATCACGCTACAAATAATAGAAGCAGAGAAATGAAGGGAAATGTTGGGAAAACGGGAGAAGTTACTCCCTTTTGTAAGTTTCCGTCGCGTGTCTTAATGGTTTGTTGTAACTTTAACCTTAATGGTTAAAGTTACATAGAAATTATGTATGGCGGAAATATTCTACATAAAATTATTTAAAGCATACACAATAGCACGTAGCTTAGCAGTTCGGATAAGCCATCGCTCCGTCGCATGTGGACACTGAATCATGCTATAAGGATTATTTTGTATAACGGTTGCCGCGTTCGACGCGACGCGGTATAAAATATAATTTAATTTATGAAATATTTGTAATACTTACCTATTAGTTAAATCCGTACAGTGTCATTCTATCTATGGACGGACGTATAGCGGAAACTTAGTAAGTAATAGGGTGCCAAACCATTGGAGATTTACCGATAAAAATGAGACGATTAATAACATTTGTATGTATACTTCGATTTTGTTCTATTGCTATAGGGTGCTTTTTATCAACACAGTACGCGGGCGAAGCCGCTGGCGGAATCTAGTCATACCTAATTAGTTACCAAAATGAATTGTACAGAAACATTATCTGTTTGCGACAAAAATACAAGTAATTAGTAACCTACTTACCTGTACCTACTTGAAAGTGCTTATAATATGACATCGTATCTTTATTTTCTTCTTCTTACTCCCCACTATTCTCCTTATCCTACTATCCTATTGTGATGTCAAAATGTGTAATTTTTTTATGTAGATAGTTGATATCCTGGATTAAATAGCTGCTTTCTATTAAAAATGTCACGTGGCATGAAGCCGCATTCGGAAGCTGGTTACAATATAAATATATCCATAATATCATATACTAGTCCACAGCCACCCATATAATTATCAACCATATTGCACAATAGACCTACATCACCCGGGAATTGACCTTGGGTGCACTTTTATAGTGCATACAGGGATAATTATTGCCGGCTGATGTCCCATCACATTTAGATTAAAGCTGTTCAACAGGCCCCTCGTACGCCTTCCAAAGGCCCCGGATCCTGTTATACCTACCGTGAAAGGAAAGAAAAAACAAATATAAATACTGACAAACATTTTAACAGAAATCACATATAATTACATAAGCACCACTAAATATAATTCTAATTGATGTTTGTAGCATATATCTTTAAATATTATTATGTAGGTAAGTATTACAAAAAATGCATTTAAAAACATTTTCCTTTGTTGGTTTTACAAGTCAAATGCAATAAAATTAAAAACTGCAACAAAACCAGGAAAGCCTAGATACAATTAGTTCCTATTTAACAGTACAACAACGACTTTATTTAATGGCGATTAGGTAATGAACTAACTGTTAGATAACAGTAGAAGACAAGAAGAATAATTATTTGGAGCAACTAACTACCTAATGTTATTACCAAATTTTCTTCGAATCATTCACTGCACGTGCAACTTAGCACCTACTTACATCAATTCACGCGTTCAAATGCGTCACTAGTAAATAAATAGCAATGATGTAAACACATTGTCAATTTGAGATAAACCTCAATACAAATAAAATTTAAATTGTAAAGAAAAAAGAGCACAAAATTCCCGTTACAAAGAAGAACATGTAGGAATTTTTTTGCAAGTGCTCACGTAATCTTTATAAGTTTTATGCGAAATTTGATAACATTTGATTTTATCTTTTTTATTTGGTCCGGAGTTCGTATCGTGCCTTGTTTAGGGCTGCCCAAACTCCCAGGTAGGTTTTTGAGAATTGAGATCTTTAAATAACAAATGATAAGTGGTTTCGATAGCTTGAAGGAATCAACATTGTCATATCCTAAGAGAAATACAGCAAAAGTTAACGGCACTATTTTCGATTTTCATCAAATATGTATACAACAATAGGTGAATCAGGAACTTATATCATTCTCGTTCAATTTCATTTATTTAAAAATGTTGGACTAAAAGAAGTACCTAGCGTTTATTACTACTATTTAAAGCCAAAACACTCATCAGTATAACGAAAACCGCAACCAATTAAATATTTCCATTTTTAGGCATTTTGGTTATTCACATGAGGTATAGATGAAACATCTCACAGAAATCTGATGATATTTTCTTGGATTGATTCTCGGACTTTGCTATTTATAGTTATTTATGTAAAACTAAAATAAAAAAATCCATGTAGGTGTTTTAAGTTCCCCGCCACTGCAAATCTTGCTTAGATTTGTAGCTATATTGAAAGGCACGTACGTGAAGCCACATGCGTACTTGTACCACTTTACTCAACAGCCTTTTGTCGCAACTAACCATTAGTCATTTGCGAACTATTGTCCAATTATTGGTTTTCCAAAAACAAAACATTAACACACGTATTACCAATGAATAGTCTTTACTTTCAATTCGCAAAACCATTTGAGAATGTATTGTTTTATTGTTAAAGCGGGTACTTTGTTGGTCGGAGTTCTGTAACCGTAGCATCGGAGCGGATGCTGATTCCATTCATATGTCGATCTATGTAATGGTCAACTAGATTTGGCTCTGTTTCAGCGCAGGCGGCTCGCCATACGCTTATATGCGGCCAACGGGCGCACACACCCGCCACTCTTTATATATAAAGGAGATCTTGCGAAACCGTTAGCACATTCGGACTACAACCTGTCCAGGAAGTCACCTGCTTCTTTTGTCATCTGAGAAACGCGACAAGATGCTGTTCATTCTGGTAATTATACACCGTGTTAAGTGCTTAAAGTGACTGAATAAAAATCAAACAGTGTCCACATTTTCAGAGTAATTTGTGCCGATAAATTGAGTGTTTTGAACCGATGACCTGTGATTGCGTGTTGACAAAGTGTGTTGCAAATACCGGCGCTTAGCAAAGGAATGTTTAATTTTACCTAAAGTCGTCAGAGGTTTAGGTTCTGACATTTACTCTACCCGCGCCTTCTATGTTTATGCCTACTTCAATGACGAAATCTTAAAGTGTACGTTTAATTTAAGAATTACTATACAGGCTGCAAAGTAAATTTTAATTTATTTATCGAGCAAAATATTGCTAAAACTTGACATTTAAATACATAATTTATATAAATAATGCGCTCTAATATAACATAAATATGTGAATTTTGGCAGGATGTCTGTTATTTTTATTGAATCATCATACGCAAAATCATAAAATAGTTATCCTAGGCATCCTAATAACTTTTCTAAGACTATCATAAAATTATTTATTCTGTTTTGCACTTCGCGAAGGTCATTTTATTTATTGAACCGATAAAAAAATTAAAAGTCATTCGATGAAATAACTATATTTATAACAAGAAAACACAATTTTAAGGCACAAAACAAAAACTACGTGTAGTCAAAATAATGCTGCTTCGAGATCAAGATCGAGGTTCTGTTCTAGATATGGAATGGTTAATCACAGGCAATTAAATTTCACTACACAATCAGCCGGCGCCTATTAAGGAATCTTGTTACAAAAAATCTTATCCAAACTTTTACCGGCCGAAGACACGGTGATGTTATCATTGAATTAATGAAGGACGCACGAAGATCCAAAAACGTGTTCCGGGGGCGTGAGACACGATTGTCATTGCTAATTATGTAAACATGCTTTAATTTGACGTAACAAAATGTATCGTTATGGTGTTTTGTCCTAAAACGACAAAAGAAAGAATAGTTGCATCACCTTCTAAATTTTTTGGGGCATATCTACGTTTACAGTAGACATATAGACAAGCAACCCTTTACGTGAGCATCCTACATGACGAACGTCTTAAGGCTATTGAAACGACTTTTAAACCTTTCAGATAGGCTTAGTAAAGAAAAATACTCCTTCCTTAAAAGCTGGTCACGCGCCTGTGACTCCTTTGGTAGTCCATGGGTAGCGCTGATCCCTTACTATCAGGATTGGTCACCTCGTTTGACTCCTATTACATAATAAAGGTAATGTTTAGGTGATAAAATATTTCGATATTTTTTTCAATTACAGTGTGTGGTATCAACGCTGCTGATGCAAACGATCGGGGCGAGTCCTGCTGTCGACAACCAAAACAGAGCTCAAATTATACGTTATGATATTGAAACAGCCAACCTGCCAAACTCCTATAGATTTCAGTAAGTATTTTTTACAACTACAAATACCTTTTTAATTTACTAAGATTTGTCAAATGGAATATATGATCCTGAGACATTGACTAATAAAAGTAAACAACAAAATATATTTTGTTACAAAACTATAGAGTTTCAAAAAGCATTCGAAATTGATAGTAAAATGACGAATTTCCTTTAGGTATAAGACGTTATTCGTAGAAAGTCTTTGCATCTTATTTCAATGATACAAAAGCGTCGAATATTCTGATAGGAAAATACATATATTATTTTCTAAGATGAATAACATACCTACCAAAACCAAAGACGTTTAGGTACCTACTATTAAGAAATAATGCATTAGGTAGGAACCGAATATTTAAACACAACGTCAATAAAGTTAATTACGTTTTTCCTGCGAACATTTAGCTGCTGATAATGTCCATAAAGGCAATATAAATTGATAATTAAGACCAAGTTAAATATACAGGATACTCAGATGCTTTAGATAAAAATATGGTTTATACAAAAAACACTTGAACCACTTCTTGTTGGTTTAAAAAACGCAAAAAGAATATGGAGATAAGGGTTCAGTAAACAGTCGTGTAACAAGGATTTTCGACAAAACAGAAATTCAAGAGGTCAACAAATATAGTAGGGAAAGTCAGACAAGAATGTTTCCGTGGCCCTAAAGACCCAGCGCCATTAATCACGTACTAAAAAACGTTCACCGACCAAAATGTTTGCTCTTTTCCAAAGTTGTTAACAAGAGCAATGCGAGACAACCAGTTTATTTATGTTATTTTATAACAAATACATATATACGTAAGTCAGACAAACTTACTTACTTACACATTAAGTAACTTTTTAATATTATGAATATTTAAACTTCTTACTACACTTTACTCTACCACTATTCGCCGACATTAGTCAACAAATTTCAAGTCAACCACGGCAAGAGTTCATAGTTACGAAGACATTGTATTCCGAATTAATTAAAGACACAGATAGAAATGATAACAACAAATGATACATTTGATTTTAATAAAATCTATTAATTATAAACCATATTTAATTGATTGTTGTGATAAAAAAATTTCGCCACAAAACATTTAACAGCATACTGAAAATTTATTCGATGATCTGAATCGTTGCACATAATATTTCACAACCGTCTAGTGACATTTTTGATATGTCTACCTTTCGTATCAATTTGCAATTCTATGCATCTTATTGTAATTTCATTGGGTGGTCTACCATTTAATACTAATTTACTCATAAAATGTGCAAAACTTCAATCAAATGCGCATCCATGTATTTAAAACAGTTTATATGGAATGTTATAATAAAAATATAAATAGGTGTAATTATAGTATAGGCTGATTGCTTTTGTACATCATCAAAACTAGAGTCACGAATACTTGTTTTATAAAATATTCATATTACCATGTAATTAATACACAGATATTAATAACCTATCGAGAAAATTGAAAAATATGAATGATTTTATTATCAAGTCATTAATTTTATAATAAAGTTATAGCGGACTCAATATTTTGACATAAACATAATATTTTTGTCCATAATATATTTGTCAGCTTATAAAATGTGAATATTTTTTATGACTTATTAATATAACAGTAGTACTTATTATCAAATTTGTTCTCTGTCAAATTTTGACACGCGTACCAATCATAAAAATTGTGTATGTATTTAAGAATAAACTGTACTCCCAAGTAATAAGGTCAACGACCTGGATACATGGAATCGGTATGTATATAAACACAAAAACCGATCTATCAATATTGTGATCTGTCACATATTTTAGTGAAATGACTAAATAAATCTAGAATCTTATGAAAATCTATATTTTTGTGCAAACATTTTAATAAAATCTGATTGGGTCATCAAAAATTTTGCATTTTTAAACAATTATCGACAACGTTTAGTTATTAATCGATATTATTATCGATGGTATTTTTGTTAACGGAGACACGCATAAAAAGTTATATTTAAAAATAAAATAACAGAATAATTGGCTTTCTCTGATTCAACATTGATGTCTAGAATTTCGTGAAAAAAATTACTTAATCGCTCTTGTATACATCAAAACAACAATTTTCATAATTTAAACTAATTTGATTTGATAGAAGAAATAACAGCGTGTTATTTACGGCGCGTAGCGTTCCGTGTTCGCCTCAAAGAGCCAATAGGCCACTGATGTTCAGTCGGGGTTGGTACCGCAGCCTCGGTCCAGGGCAGGAAAAGGAACACTACCTCAGAGATGTCATTTGATGATTTTCCACTCAAATAAAGCATGTTATTTCCAGAAATTGTTCGGTATATAATTTAGTGTTCTGTATCTTACTGTAATCAATATCTTTTCAAACTTATTTACTTATAATTTATTATGCATGACTAAACTGTGTCAGACAAGTATTGTAGGCATCGTATGGGTAAATAATTAGTCAATCCTTAGGTCAAGCCTAGCCTTGTTTTGCAAGAAACACTAGAAGATAATATTATGTCGCCAAGGATTCTAACGTATCAAGTTGCATAGGCGACACCTCTGTTTTGTTAGTCCTAATGATGTTTTAATTGCATATACATTCAACAACGAAGTCTCTGTCGTAATAATAAATATCTTGTCATACATTGCAAATGTTATAAAAGAGGAAAGAGTCGTGCTTCGGCACAAATGAGCTGGCTCTGGTAGTGATACCACGGCCTTACAGAAAACCGGCGTGAAACAACGATTGGTTAGTCATAAACAACATGTTAGTAATACCCCATCGAAAACCTCAAGTTCTAAGAACCTTCAACGGCCAGCAACGTTCTACAAGAACATCTGTTGTTGTGGAGGTCCATTGGTAACGCTTATGACTTACTATCGGTCGATCTATCCCATAAAAAAGTAAAATTCAAATGATGTAGATAGTACGCCATTTAGCTAGATAGAAAGTTGCCTAAATAATAATTGTATCCGGTCGATAATTATACAAAATTACATATCAATTATAACAACACTGTTCTGATCCTCGTATAAATTGTGATTACGTTCAATCAACTGTACTCTAAAAGCGTGTCAACCACTTCGTTTTATCTTTTCGTTTCCAATCTTTTAGTGTGTGACTAGCAAAAAAGGATCGTATATCTCTAACCACTAGGTACATATCATTATAGCAACTAAATATTTCATATCTCATTAAGCTTGTCCTCCCACACTTAGTCTTTAATCCTTTTTCAAACAAACAAACCGACTTCCACCTTCTTAATGATTATACATAAATGCTATGAGTAAATCGGTTTGTAAAAGCTTAAATGGTTCATGTTAGTTTTTTTTTTGAAGTTTATCGATCAAAATTACATTTGATTGAAAAGTAAAGTTATTTTTTGCTGTACACGTATAAGTTTGTTGTGATGGTTTAGAGATCAAGGTTCAGTTTTTTGTTTTATTAAATTAAAAGATACCGTAACGTAATTCTAACAATGTGTTAAGATTAAATACCAAACTTCCAAGAACAAGATATAGAACAAGAAAATTCCGGAAAATCATCTTTCACTTTTGTTACGACAAACAACATCAAACGAAGCTACAAACAGTAATAAAACGATTACATTTTGAATACAAAACGAAAAGGAAAGCAAAATGTCTGAGTCATCTATCAACAACACTAGGTTGTCGATGTAAACATTTGACCAACACTACGGAATGTCATGTTTATGTAAATTGACCTTTATGTCCTTACGTGTGCAGGTGTAACCCGATAATCCGAATACGTGATCCAAAGCCTTTATAGTCTCTAAACCTGTTTATTTGGAAAGCAAATATTTTTAAATCGCTCTTCCGTGGTACTTGTTGGCTTTCTGCCACAAGGATAGCGGCAAATTGTTTGAAGCTATGCACTACAGCTGGTATGTAAGACCGTGTAGGTAAACACGGACATCGATTGTATTTGCAGTTAATTATAGCCGACATCGTGTGATAAGTGCTAATCTGTTTTCAAGCACGATACGTAACAGAAAGGCGACGGTAGTGTGACGACGGGGATTTTTTAATGTTTATCCTACGTAATCGTTTGGGATGATCCACTTTATAGGCTTTCTTGTACACAATTATTATTCGAAACCAAAAGGGAAGGAAATCGTTGCTCCTTAAAAGTTTGGTCAAACCCTTTTCATAAAACTAAAGCTCATTAAAACACCGTTGAGGTTATTAGATTAACGAAATGTAATATAAGATACTGCCTTGGCCTAAAGAAGAACAACAGTGAACAGTGACTTATATTGTAGGTTACTTTATATTACTGTATGTGGAAGTTTTAACGGCACGGCATAAATATTAATGGTGCCTGAACCAGCACGCTCACATCCTTTGAAACTCAGTTATAACATATAACCCACTTAATACTAGGAAACTGCCAACTGACTTCACACGATGCACGTTCTCAATCCATCATCGTGAATGTAAAACATTTTACGAACAAAAATTCTCATAAAAAAACAAACATTTTAAAACAGAGCTCCCCAAATCACGGATTGCGTCTTGACGTGAATCTAGACCCGCAGAATCTTTTCTTTCTAAATTAATACATTAATGGGGAAATTACTTTCTCATGGCGACCTCAAGATAAGACCTCAGTGTATGGTGACATTCAAGAAATAGAGGAATTCCGAGTTTCCCTGGTGCAAGGAGTAGGGTACCTACACAAGTTCGAGAATCCCCATACGCATACCAGTATTTCATTGTGCACCAGTATTTCGTTAGTCAGTATTTTGCGGCTCCCCAACATGTTTAGGCATTTTTTGTGGCCCTATATCATATCTAATATACAGAGGCATGTTTCAAAACAAACTACTTTACTTTCTTTGTACTAATTGCCTTCGAGAAAGATAGGCGTAGTATTACTTATCTATACAAATTATAAATTATATTTACCAATAATTGAATAGTAATTTTCTCGATTTTGTCCATTCAACTGTCTCCAGTTAATAGCAGACATAGAAAAGTACGACCATATGTAAAT